ATTCATTTAGCATTTGATCTTGTTTGCCATTTTCTGAAAGCAGCTAAAGCTTATCTTGAAGCTGTTAGTTAATATTTTTTATCTGTAATAGAACCATTATTGGATTTTCTTTGTTATTAGTTTTTTTATTTAAGTTTGAGAGCTATTTTTGAAGCCTTTGAATTTTTTTTTTTTAGAGCAAAATTAGACCTTAATGCTCTAATTATAAATTGTATTTTGTATTTTTTTTTTTTTTTTTTGAATTCCCACTGCCTGGTCGCTAGTGGGCCGCAGTTGGCGGCTATTTTATTAGTTTAATTTTTAAGTTTACAGGACCTTCTATCAGGACCCTGCCTACATTTTACATTTTATTTATATACATTTTGCAGTACTATCTATGTACTAATTTTTTGTGTTCCTATTACTCCAGAATTTCACCAGGACTATTTCTAATTAGGGATTCCTTTGTTCTATCATTATCCTCAGCCCCTTAATCATCGCGGCCTTCTTATGTCAGGTCCATCACCATTTAAGGATCTGGGTACCGAAAATCTTCCTATTTTCATAGAGTATCACCTGCTGTGGTTAATCAACAATCGTAGTCCTAACTCAGTTTTTCATCCTCCATTGGACTTGAATCGGCAACCTTGCGATTGGTAACCTGGGAGTGTAACCACTTCGCTATCGACCCGCAGGTCGTATTTTGTATTTGCAAAGGTCCTATTTTAAGAAGTTAGTAATGCTTTAAAGTTCTTTAATTATTTCTTTTTTTAGCAAGTTATTATTTTAGCTATTTTTCAAAATTTTTATTGCTTTGCTTTAGAGTTTTCAAGTGAGAGATATATTTTATATTTTATTATTAAATGATCAGAATTGTCAAATTATATTGTCATATTTTTACAATAGCTGCTATAATTGCTGTTTATAAAAATATAATCAAGCCTTGTAGTTATTTTGTGATCTGTATGAGTGTTTCAATAATAGGTTAAAAAAAAATAATCATTTTTAGATAAAGATGCAGTATTTGTAAACTCAGTTATAAGTTCTTTAAGAAGATTTCTTATAAAGTTATAAGTAATAAGTGCATAACTAATTTGATCTTTTTGTAAATTTAGATTTGTATTAAAGTTTTTAGCCAAAATATTAATGCATTTATTATCTATTAATAAAACCTAACTATTAAAAAATTTAAGCCTATCATAATATTTAGTAGTGCATAAATATTGTTTAAGAAAAATAGATAGTTTTTGTATAAAAAAGTTGCTATAATAACATAGCTATTATAAGATTCTATAATGTTTTTAAATGAAATATTTCTGTTTTTTACTAATATTGCTGTCTTAAAAGATCAATAAGAGTTATATTTCTATTGTTGTAAAAGAATATTTCTTGTATTATTGTTTACTAAATTTGTTTTTTGTAATATAATTATATCTAATTAATATAATTTAAGTAAAGTTAGTATTTTTTGTACTTTGTTCAAATTGTTCAAATATTTAATATTAAGTATTACAATTGTAATTTGTTTAATTATGAATATTGAAAAATTGAAGATTGATGAGTTAGATTAAGGTTTTTTGGTTCTGAGCTAGAATTCTTTTTAGAATTCAGATTTATAACTTTGTTTCTTTCTGTATTTAATACTTTTGCTTTAACTTTGTGTTTTTTTTTTAACATTATCAATTGAAATTTGTTGTCATTATTACTAATAAAGAAGGATTTAGCAACCTTAAAGTTATTATAAAGGATGGTTGGTAAATCTAGAGATTGGAACTAGTTTTATTTTTATTAATCAGTTTTATTAACTTTTTAAAAATCACAACTGAATATAAATTAGTTATAATATATCCAGTTAAATCTAATTAATCAGTTATAATAATCTGGTTAAATTTGATTAATCAGTTGTAATATAACTAATTAATCAAATTTAATTAGATTATTATAACTGATTAATTAGATTTAACCAAATATTATACTTAGTTAAATTCATTATGCATATAAATCAATGAATATATATGTGTATTCAGATATGTAATTACTTTTTTTTTTAATATTAAGATGAGTAATTGCAATCTAAGAGTTTATTGATAATCAGTTAGTATATAACTATTGTATACAATAGCTATAGAGGCAATCATAGAAAGAGTGTACAACTAGACACTTGTACAACTTTATTTATTGTCTATTTTAAGTAGTCTGCCTAAAGGTTCTACACTAGTTGCCATATCTAGAATTTGGCTGTAGGTTCTCTATTTAAATACTCTAGTTCCTATATCCATTTCTACCTTATCAATTGCAGAATTTTTGCAAATATACTATGGTCACTAAGTTATATTTAACTTTATACTAAGCCCACCAGAGCCTTTTGTATTTATATTTACAGCTGACCTAGTACCACTCTGGTCTAGACTATCACTTGCAGTTAGGACTAACTATTAAACCACCATACTCTTGTAAAGTTCACAAAGACCCTAATATCTTTCTTTTCTGACTTTTATCTCCTAATCCTGAACCTACAAGACCTACAAGACTTTACAAACTACCAATTCAGATGGCCCATTCAATGAACTCAGCAGCTTGGTTAATATGTGCTCCTCTATACATATTGTCATTCGATTTATTCAAGGTCCTAATAATCCTTTTTTGGGGCCTTCTGATAGTTCAGTAGTACTATCAAAAGTCCATGCTATCTCTTTACTCAGAATTTCCAAATATGTTTTCAACTCTTTAGTTTTTTTGCTTTCTGTGCCTGGTGGTCTTATTGTGAGTTTGCACCAAAGTCTTATGCAACATCAGTTATTAATATTTCTCTATGTAGGTATAACATTACACTTTGCATAAATGTCTCAAGCTCTTATTTGAAATGATGCAACAAAGGTTACAGATATACTAATTCAACTAATTGACAGAGATAGTTACTGTATTACAGACCTTATTTTTTAAAATTTGTCATCCATGGAATTTGAACTCTAGATCTGCCATTTGGGAGTTGACAACCTGTCCACTTCACTAGATTACTACACTCCTTAGATATGTAATTACAGAGTATAATTTAAATATAAAAAAATATAAATGTAAGTAATATCATAGTTATGATAACTAATAATAGTAAAATCAAGAATTTTAGACACAAAAATTGATAACTTGATGCAAATTAATTTGTATATTTACCTGATATCTGGTATTTTTTATTTATCTTTGTAGAACTTTTTATTAGATTACTGGAATGATAATTACTGATCATTAAAAATGAGAAAAATTTAATTTTTTTAATAATTAGATAATCTATAAATTATTACATGATGCTTTGCAAACTTTTGTTTAGCTAATACAAGTTGATTATATATAATGTATATCAAAATGCTTCATGATATATTAATAAGATGCTAGATCAGTTCTTATTTATATGTTATTTGGACTATTTGTTAATTACTATATTTGCTTTCATTTCTGATTCTAGCACAACTGCATCATGCAGTTACTTTATTTAATCAAAACTAAGTTTTATGTATGCAAGAAGATAAATAAATGTTATCAAAATAAAACCTATTATCAGACTCAATTATATTTGTACTAAATACAATTACTAATAAATTAAATAGATTTAGTCCATTACAGAATATACATATAATTGAAAGCCTAATAACAGGCTTTTTTTTTACAACACTTAAATAAAACAGCATAGACTATTAATATTTTACATATACTAAAACTGTTAAAAGATTATATTCATTACAATTAAATTCAACATAAATAATTTAATTTGTGACTAATTACAGATAAGAGAGATTTACTTTAAATCAAGCATTGTTTCTGCTAAACTCAAATAATCATTAATTATTTAGATGAAATCAATTATAATAAAACTGATTAATTAATTAAAGGCAGTTATAATAAAACCAATTAATTAATTAAAAATAGTTATAATAAAACTAATTAATTGGATTAAAAAATTTATAACCTGGTTATAATTATAATCAGTTATACTCAGTTGTAAGTTTGATTACAATAACCAGTTTCAATCTCTAAATGGATCTACTATTATATTGATATTTATAGTATGATTTTCTATAAAGGATTATTTAACTCATTTAGATATTTTTGGTTGGTTCTTTTTTAGCTATCTTAGCCTTAATCTGAGGCTGATCTATATTAATATAACTATTCAAATTCATATTTGCTAATATTTGCTTATTAATATTATTAGTATCTAAATTATTATTATTTTTAATATAAAGATTATCTGTGCTAAAGTCTTCTAACTTGAAGGTTTAATGTTTGGTAGTTTTGTTTTGTAATCTTTGTAATCAGCATGCTTTTTATATAACTTTAAGTTCTATTGAAGCTTTGTACTCAGTAAATTCTTTTTTGATGTAATTCATCTTGTTACAAAAATAGCATAGTTTTGAAGCCTTTCTTCAGTCTGTAACTACTCTGTGGTTTTAAAAATATGTATATATAGGAATTCTATTTGCTAGATCTAAGTTATTTGTAGTCTCAAAAATAACTATCTATTAATCTGAAAAAACTAAGATGCCTTTGTATACTAGAGATTTAATAGAGAAAATTATGTTTACATCTTGAAAAGCTTTGATTTTTTCAGAAATAAAATTTTTTTTACCTATTGGTATATTTCTGATTCTTACTAAGAAAAAGCTTCATCTAATATTAACAAAGATGTAACTTTAAAGAGACTACTTAAAGATTGAGATTTCTTCTGCTACATAGTATTGTTGCTGATCCTTATCAGAAAAGATGATTTTTAAATGAGTTTTTCTGCCTTTGGTAATTACTAATCTTATTGTTATAAAATTATTATCTAATTTTTTTGTTGTTGACTTAACTATATCTGCTATAGATATGTTTTCTAAATTTTGAATTTTAAAAATTAAAACATTTTCATTTTTAATATAAATTTTTTTTCTAAAGAAAAAAGTAGAATAGGTAACTTTTTCTCTTTCTAATTTTGAAAAAAAATCAGACTATTGCCTTGGTTTTGATTGGTTGTTTGTAATCTCTAATTAAGACATAACTGAGTTGCTATTATAAGACATGTGTCTAGTTTGTTTTGTTACATCTGTATATGTGTTGCCAGCAAATGTAAACAATGTATCATCTTTTTTTTTAAGATCAATATTTTTTTTATTTAATATTTTACTAGCTTTTAAGTCTGTTACTACATATGTTTTTTGTGCTTCTTGTGTTACTAAAATTTTTAATTCTTGATTATTTAAAACTTGAACTTTAGTTTGTTCTAATAAGCTCTTAAAAGAACTTGAACTTAAACAAGTTTCTTCTTCATAAATATTAGAAGTTTTGATTTTTTTATAAAATATAGACATTTTAGATAACTTAGTAAAAGAGAAATATAATATGTTAGTATATAGATACTTTTTTTTTCAGCATAAAAGATTTGACTCTTGTGATATAATTTCTAATAAATTTTAATAAAGATTTAATTGTTTTTGTTTATTTTATTCTCTACTACTAAACATAACTGAAGAGAAAGAGAAAGAGAATTTTTTGAGCTTTTTATAGAAACTTTTTAAACACCCAATATTATTGTACTTAACTGCTAAAACTACAATCTTATTTTTAATCAAATAAAAATTATTTAAAAAATATTTTTTGTAATGAAATTAAATAAAAAAAACTTGAATTAAGAGTGATTTACTTATTATAAAATCATTTTCTTAATTTTCTGCATTATTTTTATAATGTATCTGTTTTTTAAAGATGCATTTTGCTAAAAGTTCTTCTTATAACATATCTAATGATTTACTTTTTATATAAAAATTTGTGAACTTAAAAAAAATATATCAAAAGTATATAAAATAATTATTCATTTTTAAGAATATAATATTTTATAAGAACTATTTATTTAATAATTTTAATACTATTCAATTTGTAAAAATCTTAGCAATAATTTTGTCTTAAGGAACAATATATATTTCAACTAAAGTTTTAGACAAAAATTTCAAAACTGTAATTTTTGGTATAGGTCCCATAGCTTAGCAATTAAGCTCTCATATCCTTCACAGTCAAGGTCAATGGTTCAAGTCTAGCTAGAGGCAAAATTGAAAAATCTTAGCTTCTGTAACCTAATAAGGAGCCTGTAATTGAACATGAAGCTCTGTGCTTAAAAGTCCAAGTGCAGTACAATGATGGAAGTAGAAATTCCCGAAAGAAGATCCAATCATAGAGTGGAAGCACTATGTATAACAAGTGGTTGTTACAGAAGGTTATGGTTATAGAAGAATTGCACATAGAAGTTCTTTAGGCTAGAGCAATACCAATATCCTTATACCTCCTAATATAGGCAGTACCAACATCCCTACACCCAACTTGTGGGTTACTTGCTTGGAAGGATAATCAATAGATTATACAAATAAGTCTTAATTAGGATCCAAGAAGAGGATTTGATTGGAAGAGTAATCTGAAAAATAACCAAGACTGAATGGTAAGAGAAGCAGTGAACACAAGAATGGACTGTAATAAAGAATTGGTCTAACCAAAAATTGGAAGCACCTCTGGCATAGCCAAATAATCTAATTATAAAAAGGAAGATCTTGGAGGTAGGCATATTACTTTTTTGTGCAATGTAAAAGTACCAAATCAGGTTCTGGTTGTACCAATATGGAAGTTTATGATGAACAAGACTAAAGATCAACCAACCAATATGAGATAAGATCTGCAAGATAGTATGGCATTACTGGGGTTAGTGTAACTCTCTGAGCATAATCAGAATTGTTCTACAAGTATTGTTAAATAAGCTGGAAGCTTGCAATACATGGTAGTATAGTATTACTAGGGTTGGAGAAACTCCCTAGATATAACCAGAATTGTCCTGTTTGTAAATGCAACAAGTTCCAGTCTCTATCATAAAAGAAAGCATTATGTTGGAGGTTAAATGCAGCATCAAGTTGCTGTATAATGTTAAGACCTGGGGCATCTGCAAGAACAGCAGTAGCAAGTTTGGCTTAAGATATGGATTGGTCAAAAAGACCAATAGTAGCAGCAAATCTTGCTTGAGATATGGGTTCATTGCAGATCCTAGAGCATTGTCAGAACACCTTAGAAGAATCAATAACAGGCAAACCAAAGATGAAAAGATCATAAGGATTAGACATATCCAAGTAGGACCAATTTGGGAGTGATATAGTGATAAAAAGGTGGGAAATATGGAGAACAAGGTAATACTAGATATAGTTAGATTAGAAGGCAGAAAAAACAAGACCAGGTAAAACATATAAGTAGAACATATGAGTATGATTTACAGAAGACAGTACCTCTGGCATTTGGGATGTCACATTAAGTTTGGTAGGTATCCTTGTCTGTGTAGCAGTTTAATGTGTGCTATGACCGCAAGTGGTTGCCAAGGTAACTGCATGCAAGCATATGGCAAACATGCACTTAGGTGCCATAAGGGTAACCAGGTAAAGTTAGTAGTGTAAATTAGATAGTATATAGTACTAGTAATAATCGATCCTAAAATGTAACCATAAATTTAATAAAAACCAACTGGCATTGTCACCAAAGTTCAAAAAAAAAAAAAAAAAAAAACTGTAATTTTGTCAATTTGTACAACTTATAAAAATTATATAATAAAATTTTAGATATAACAAATCAAGTATTTGATAATAGAAGAAAAAAATAGCAGTATTCTGAATTAAATTTTGAGATAGGTTATAGGACAGATAGTCACATGATTGGAAAATCTATTCTATATTAAAAATTTACAAACAGTGCTTAGGGACAGTGCAATTATATAATATATGCATATTTGATTATATGATAGTTGATAGCAATAATAAAAAAAATAATAAAGTTAAACCTCTCATAGTACCAAACTTGCATACTATGCAAACTTGTACATTATGCATTTATACTTGAGCTAGCATTTAAATATATTTAGAGAAGTTTCACTATAATTAATAATTTCTCAATTATAAATATTAATATAATTAATATTTGAATATGATAGTAGCAACTACATATTTTAATAAAAATAATATTGTTTTAATAATTAATTGTGTTTTAAATATATATATTAATTAGTAAAATTTCAAATTTATTAAATTAAAAGTTATTAATAAATTTGCTTAAACTGATTACTAGACTACTAAATATGACTTAAACTAGTGATAATTACAGCTAAAGACTGTAAAACAAAACATGATTATGCTAAAACATGCATTTTAATATGTTTTGCAAAAATTATCATGAACAAATAAATAAACAAAAAATATGATTACAAAAGACTGAAAAAAGTTAATGTTTTAGTATTGTTTTCTGTAAAAATAAATAATAAAAGTGATGCATTAATATTTTACTCAGATAAAAAAAAAAAAAAAAAAAAATTAGCCTGTTTCTCTATATTTAAATCAGGAAAATATTAAGAATAATAGTAACTTACTATTTTTTAATAAGTGCTTGTGGGTGTGGGTCCCATAGCTTAATTGGTAAGCTCCCATACCCCCACAGTCAAGGTCAACAGTTCAAGTCTGGCTGGAGGCAAAATCAAAAAGATTTTAGCCTCTGTAACCTATAAGGAGCCAGTAATTGAACATGAAGTCCTGTGGTTAAGTCCAAGTGCAGTACATGATGGAAAAAAGAATTTCTGGAAGGAGACTGACTTTGCAGAGAGCAGGCACTACAGGTGACAGCGGTGTTACAAAAGGTTCTGTTACACAAGGTATTGCGCATATAAGTCCTCCAGAGATGGGACAGTACCAACATCTTCACATCCAACTTGGAAAGTAATTGATTGGGAGAGTGATACCAAGGTAATATATACTGAAGTGGTGAGAGAAGCGGTGCATGTATAGAAGGTCTGTGACAAAGGATTAGCCTTATCAAGATTGGAAGCACCTCTGGCATTGTGAAACGACTGAAAATAGAAGGTAGCTGTACATATAGAGAAGTTGTAGCCTGTCTTGTATGTCTAAAGGTACCAAACTGGAGCTCTGGTCACACCTATATGGAAGCTGATGGCGAAACAAGTGGAACACACCAACATAAATGCTGTACCAATCAAAGTTGAGATACCTAAATTGGAAGTGACCTTTGCGAACAAGCACAGGGCATCTGTGGGAATGCAGATTTATACAGGTATCTGTATAGATCAGTGTACACAGAAGAATGCAAACTGGCTTTGGGCAGTGCAAACACAAGATAAGTCCTCATGTGTTTAAATAAAAAGGAAATGATGGCCAATGGCTGGAAGAAAATGGGGTACTATTTCCGAAACATAGTTCCACTACATCATAAAAGGGAGTATTTAAGGGGCAGATTAAATGCACAATCTGTTTGAATAACGCTAAGACCAAGAAGGGTTGCAAACCAGCAGCGGCAGCAAGGACCTGGCTTGAGATACATGCTACCAGTACCTGAATTGAGAAAATGGCAGTGGCAGCAGGAACCTGGCTTGAGATATGTGCTAAAGAGGCACCCTTCGGGCAAACCAAAGATGGAAGCTCAAAAGAAGCAAATGACCCGGTGGACCAATTTGGGAGTTGTGAAAAAATAAGTTGTGAGACATGGGGGAATATGCAGATTACCTAATATAATCAGTAGTGAAACAAAAATCTAGGTTAGGTGTAAGTGGAATACAATACATAGCTTTGGTAGGTTTAGGTCACAGATAAAGATGTCTGAGTCCTATGTCTGAATAGATATATAGTGATAGATGATGTATGATAAAAATTGTACTAGCTAAAACCAATATACTAATAAAGACTTGAGGGCATGACCTCACCTTAAAAAAAAAAAAAAAAATAATAAGTGCTTGCATATTTTATATTCAAAGTATAGAATTAGATGTCAAAATATTTAATTGGATTTTTTTTTTGTTATAAATTATAAAAAATACAAATGAAATAAATATATATATACAAAAAGTTATTTCTCATATGCTAGCTATTTCTCAGTTATAGTAATTCTAAGATTATTCATAATAACTATATCAATTAGTTGGTAATTTCTATTTTATTCTTGTAATAACCACATTATGTTATATAAATAATAATAAAACTTAAAATATATCATTAAAAAATACAAAAAATTCTAAATATAAAAAAATTATTTTTATCAAATAATCAATCATGTTACAATCAAGACCACAAATTTTAGCTATTGGTAACAAATTTTTAACAGTAAAAAAATTCAAGAAAGCCACATAACAAGGTACTAAGAAAGCAGGCTTTGCTTTTAGTATATTATTGTCAAAAATGACTTGTACTAAAAAAAATAAATGAACACCTTTTGTTACCCTGCAATATATAATGAGAGGAAAATACAGAAATATTTATAAAATTATAAAAGAAACTTGAAAAAGAGTAAA